AAAGATAAGCAAGTCAAGCATGGTCATTAACTGGATAGGTGACCACTTGGGAATACCAGGTGCTATGCAGGGACTTTTTAAATTTTTTTGTAAAATGGATAATGGTTCAGAATTATCTTTCCATTATATTCACTTATGTAAAAAAACATCCTTGATAAAAAAAAATTTAAAATTTCACCACTTCTTCCCACTCGTTCTGTGGGTTGATTTAGTCCGATGGTTTTAAATTTAACTTGCAATAGGTTGATAAGCCATAAAAAAACAATCAATCATATATAAATTCTTTGCTCAGTATATGAATGTTTTCTTTCCTTTTTTTTTAATAATTAAAAATATTATTTTAGATTTCTTTTCTTATATATATATATATAATATATATATATATATATATTCAAACATATATTGACAAATATAACAGACAATGAAACTATTATGTTTCATCAGAAAGCCATTCTAAACTTCATATATTTGCTTTAATTTAATATATATAAAAATAAATAAAAAGTTGTTCAATATTTGGATATTTTTTAAATTGCTGTTTTATCTTTTTATTTAAGTTTTTGGCTCAAATGTTGGAAAAAAACTTTTTTTTCTTCATTTATTTTTTGATGAAATTAAAATAAAATTATACTAAGTTTAGAATGGCTAAATCAAACATATTGGACATTTATTGTCTGTTATCATTTTCTAATATATGTTTGAGTAATGATCTGCTATACATATACATATATATATATATATATATATATATATATATCAAACAGACAGATATTTACTGTATATATATATATATATGGCTAGACGTAAAATTATTCAAAATAGGATTAAAAAACCAACGTTATTTAAAAAAAAAAAGATATCTATCATCAACAGCAGACAAGAAGGGAATTTTAACGTTTTCTCTATATGAAATATGTCAGCTTTTTAAAGAACTCAATTCATGCTTGAAGAGTAATGCTTAATAACAGTAAGAGCTGCTGTTTTTATAAACCTCCATTCCCTAGAGAGCTCAACCGAATTTCCAGGTGCATATACAGTCATCCACAGACTGTTTTGCTGTATGCATCTCCTCAGTATGGCTAGACGTCCAATTGATTCAAGCCAGGATTGAAACCTGATTAATTTGACATCAGTCAGATATCTTACCCCTAGGCCATCGTCACATGGCAGAAAAGATGGAAATTCTAATGTTTTTCTCTAGAGACCAACTCATTCACAGAGTGCATCGTCAATCAAGCAACGTAGAAAAAACAAATCTTTCTCAGACTCTTGAAACATTCGTATCTGCTCAGTTTGGTATCCTAATGTAAACAAAGAAAATTTCTAAAGCAGTAATGGATTTTTTTTAATTATTAATCTAACAGATTTTATAACTTTAGTAAATGCCCATATTTGAGTAGATGCTCTGTTTATTTATTAAACAGTATATTTGTTTATTTTCATCTACTGGCCTGAATAATCAAGAAATCTTATTAAAAAAAAGTGTGCTCTCCAGCAGGATTTGAACCTGCATCTCCCTTGACAGGAGAATCCAATGTACTTATACTGACTCATCTACGGAGTGCATCGCCAATCAAGTAAAGCTAAATAGTGCCTTCTCCTAGCAAGGGGTCACAGGTTTGAATCCTGTCAGAGAGCGCATATTTTTCTTTAATAAGATTTCTCAAAGAGAGATCTAGAAAATAGCAAAGTTTAGTTATGCTCAAGCAGTCCAGCCAAGTTTGAAAGCAAACAAATTGAATCCCAGGAGTTCTGAAAGATCTCTAACCAAATTCTGAATAAAGGCAAAGCGTTAGTGCTTACTATTATAAATGACCCTATGGTCATCTCATCTTTGTCAGATAAGATGAAGCTTTTCACCTCATTTCACTGAGCACAATCTCAGTAATATTTTCATTGCAGCCTGAGAAGTTAGTAAAAGTTTTGACCCTAAGAAGGCCACCAATCAAGTCAAAATTCCAATGGTTATCCTTAAGAATATTAACTCAGAGTTATTCTTGATCTTAGCAAAATTATTTAACCACTACTTGAATGAGAAATAATTAGGCACAATATGTCTATATTATTCAACATATATAATATCAATTGGTAATAGGTTGGGATAAATCCAAGGACATTAATCCAAAGAGAGCTCAATGTAAGTAACAGAGCAATATCATAATAATAATAATAGTAATAAGGCAAGAAAATCCTTAACAATACATTATTTTACTAGAATTTTTTTTAAAATAAATATTTTTATGCAATAAATTATAACCAAAATGGATTTTTTAAGGATTGTCTTTTTATTATAATTCTTATTTTTATATATAAATATATATTATATATATTATTATTTTTATTTTTATTTTAAGAGGTAATAATATTTGCCCATTGCTGAAATTGATAACAAAAGCTATCATGTTTCATTCCTGTGATTTTACTGGACTTCAGGTGATAGTAAGAAGAGGTGGATTCCCCAGTTTCAAAACCATCACCTGAAAAAGTAAAATCTACGTAGCTTAAAAACAATAATTTCTTTATTTGTTTGTGATTTCAACATGTTTTATTATAACCTCTTATAATAATAATATTTTTATTATAACCTCTTATAATAATAATATATTGCCTATTTTGTATCAAGCAATTTTTTTAAAAGTAAATGCTATGAACAGTGTAATTTTACTTCATCCGTTCTTTCTCTCATTTGTGTGTGTGTGTGTATATATATATATATATATATATATATATATATATATATATATATATATATATATATATATATATATATATATATATATATATATATATATATATATATATATATATATATATATATATATATATATATATAAGAAACAACAGTAAGATATATAATCTGGTCTTCTTATTGATATTTTTTATTTTTACAAAACAGTGCTCAATGTAAATTTACAGAGCATAAATATTATAAATTAACTGATTTAAAATAAGCGCATTTAAAACTCACTAAATTTAAAAATAAGTTATTCCAAAATTCTCTTGAAGATGAAACAGAACTAATGCTTTTAATTTAATTATATAATTAAATTTGAAGTTTTTAGCTTCAGTTTTTGAAACATGGTTATTACTGTGTAGCGATGAAACTATGTTTTAAATCAGTTAATTTATAATATATATAAAACTATCATCTTGCTAAAGAATTGCCCCCACCAAATTTCCACTTTGTACTCTTTTAACTATTCAGTTATTCTAACCACCACTTCTAAACATACATTTGATGACTGAGAGTAACACTAAATGTCAGTTGGAAACAATACATGCATAATGCAGAACTATATGAGAACTTACCAAATATTATGGACACAATCTGTGAAATCAGAAAGGAAGAACTGGGTAGACCGATAAATTACAGAAAAGTTGAAAAGAATTGGTCAGAAGTGTTCATTTGAAGATGATCAAATAGATTTCTTATAAATATCTTGACCTTCCATCTGTTATTACTCATTTGGCAATCTTCACCCTAGAGAGTGAAAGTTTTCTAGTGAACAATACCCAGACCATTTGAACATAAAAATTTGTGATATTTAGTGAAGCATTCAAAGAGCAAGACAACAATTGTCAACAAAAAACTTTGCCTACTCTTGCATGGACATTTCCACTGTTTGAATGCAATAATTTATTATTATTATAGAAATGGGTGTAAGGAAAGGATGTGTATTCTCACCATACTTATTCAACGTTTATAGCAAGGTGATCCTGTGAGAACTTGAAGTCCAACCAAGATTTATTATTGGTGGACTCAATCCGTGCATTGAATATTGCTGCCATATCTGATCTGATGCTCCTGATATATACCTCAAGATTCTTGACAAGATTCAAAGGGTCTGCAATGTTATCAGTCCTGACCTGGCATCTCGACTTCATTCACTTTCCTACTATCCTGACATGTCTTCTCTCTACAAATATTTTCATGGTAGTTCTAATCAACCCTCCTTCTTGGTACCTTGATAGTATGAACTTCAGCATACTACCAGATTGCCAACTAGGTCTCATCATTTTACTATTAAAATAAGTCAGATGTAATCATAAGTTCTAGTCTAATAGTTTCTTTTCTTGCACTTCCCACATTGGTACTCACTTCTGGTTTCCTGTCACCTACAATCTTGAAAAATTTAAATGCAACATCAATTACCATCTTCTGTCTTCCTCAATCCTGTTCTTTTATTGCCCTTTCTCCTCACTGACTTCTGCTTCTCTTTCACTTGCAGTAAGCCCTTGCATTTTAATGGAATATCACCTTGCTTGGGGTGAAATGATTAGAAAAAAAAGAAGATATGCTGATGACACAGTGTTGTTAACAGACTCAGAAAGGAAAGTACAGGAACTTATAGAGAAAATATTAGAGGAAAGTGTGATGAAAGGACTAAGTGTCACTTATAAGAAGACAAAATATATGATTGTCAGCAAGAAGAACAGCCCAAGACCCAAACTATTATTTGGAGATACTAAAATCAAACAAGCATAAAAATTTAAATATCTGGGAGGGGTTTTAACAGAGGATGGAAAATGAAACTGGGAAATCTGAAGACACATTGGAATAGCAAAAAATGTCTTCCAAAGGCTAAATAAAGTATTAAGAAAAAGGAAAATTTCATGAGGAAAAAAGAAAAGAGTACTGAACTATTACATAATATTGGTCTCCCATATGACAGTGAATAATGGACAATCTATTTACTAATGAGGAAGAGACTTGAGGCAACAGAAATGTAATTCTACAAAAAGTTGCTGAGAATACTATAGGCTGAACATGGGAGTATATTTTAATGCCAAAATCTAAACAATTTTTTTGAGATAATAATGGTTTTAGGGATACAAGTCTTACCAATTAACCCATAGCTGGGGGAGAAGAGGTGGATTCATAACTTTTCCCAAAGGTATTTGCACATAAAGTGGATATAACAAATACAACAGGAATTGGGACTCAGCTCTTTGATTAACAATTCAAAGCCATTATCCATTACACCACCTGCATACCCAAGCTTACAGCACCTATTATTCCCAAGCAGTTACTCATCTAGGTACTGACTAGGCTCAACGTTGCTTAACTTTGGCGATTGTATGTGATCTGGTGTTTGAACATGATATGGCCATAAGCCTGGAGGGCCAGTGTAAAGATAAAACTTACTTAGAGCTACAAAGAATAGGAAGTTGAGAAGAGCCATAATCAATCCATTTTCTGAAGGGACACTGCAAATAGAAGAAGACAGTGAATCTTCTAGAACCATTTGTAGGGTAAAATGGTATGTTTCTTGAAAACTGTACCAGAGCAACTGAGTGAGAAAATAAACGTCTGAAATGAAATCAGTATATACAAGTTTGATAGACAGAAACTTGAAATTACATTCTCTAAATTTCCTTTGCAGAATAAAAAAATAAAAAAAAAGATTTTATAAACAATGCTTGTTATTAATTTATTTTAAATAACATTTTTTTTTTTTTTTACAAATCTACTAATTTAGCACTGGCCATGCTGATGGCAGGTAGAAAGCTTCTCTATAGTCATTAAATGAAAGCAGTTTTGTTTTTGAGGTGTTAAAATTTACAAGCAATTCCTTGCCCCAGTTGACCACTGATTGGAGGCCCTTTTCAAAAGCAGTTTCCAATTCTACTTTCTCAGATCTATTTACACTATTTATTTTTTGGACTATTGTCATCATTTTTGTTGTTATCACAATGTTTCAGCCATTATGTCCTCTGGTCTTCATCAGGTCTATATTGATCTGGGTAACCTACTGGATATTTTGAATTGAACCATTTATTTAATCTACTGAGGTAGACTGTTCTCATTCTGCTGTCCAAGTCTAGGGATATCATCTAGTTCCAGTTTTAGTATACTTGTCCATTTCTACTGAATCCAAGTACAGAGACTGCCCCCATAGCTTATATAAAGAGTTCAGAATTCCCTGTAGGTTGCACATATCAATATGCACCTGAGGAAGCCCAGATGGCACAATGGTTGAAACATGATAACAACAAAAATGAAGACAATAGTCCAAATATAAATAGCGTACTCTACCACAGTAGTTTGAAATGAGCTAGAAGCGTGCTCATTCAACACAACTTCCATTACATGATTTGTTAGGAATGATTGGATTAATCCAAATATTTGTCCCATCACACCATAGCTCTTGAGCTTGAAGAGGAGGGTAACATGCCAAACCCTATTGAATGTCTTTGAGATATTTAGACCAAGCTTTACCATTCTCATTTAAAGCTTTATTCAATAAAGGCCATTAAGACATCAATAGTAGACCTGGGGAAACAGAAGCCATATTGTTTGTCCAAATGGAATCAGTGGGAAGTAAAATTATTAACAAATTCAGAATTGATTAGAACCTCAAGTACTTTGCCATAAAAGAGGTAAGAGACTAATAGAATGATAATTTGAGGCATCAAAGGGTTCCCTGGAGTTCTTAAAAACAGGAACTATACATAAGGACTTCTAATAAACTGGAAATCAAAAAGCAATGAAGCATTTGTTGTAAAGTTTACAGAACAGAAACCAGTTTGGGAGCAGATTTCTTTAGGATGACTGCAGGGATACCATCAAATCCACATGCTTTGTGGGGATCTATTTTAGAAATGATAGCAGAAACCAAAGACAGAGTTATGCACATATCACTCGGTAGAGCCTTAATTCTAAAGAGATAATTGGGCAGAGATACTCCAGATGAGTTGTGAGTGGAGTATAAAGAGGATTTCCAAGCAAAGCCTTCTGCTTTATCTGTAGTAGATGTCAGTACTTCAAATTGATTGAAGAGAGGAGGAAATGAGGATTTGTGTTTGTTCTGCACACTCTTGCAGAGCCGCCAGTAATCTCTAGAATCAAACTTGTGTCTCATTCTATCAGCAAATAGTGGCTCTGCTTCTTTGATGACACACTTACACTCATTATGAGCAATGACAAAGAGACATCTTTTACAATTGGACTTGTCACTGATATAGCTGGAAGAAGTGATTCCTGTGGGCTATAGCAGCTGAATAGGCAAGAAAGAACCAAGGAGAAGATTATGGTTTCACTTATTATTTATGTGCTGGCATGAAAGTATTAATGCCAGCTTTCACCGGTTGTCATGTTCTCTGATATTTATTTCAAATTTTAAATCTATTGGTGTTTGTTTTGAAATATAAATATCATTTCTGGTAATAATTCAATAGATTTTTCAGAACATCTGATCCTGAGGATTGATGTTACTTGAAACTCTGAAACAATCAGATAAGTTATTAGTATAAATGTTAGTTCTGTTATTATACATTGAGCAATGTTTTATTACCACCAGCATGCACTGTTCACTATTTACATATATATATATATATATATATATATATATATATATAGTAATATCCTTGTTTATAGTTGTTAAATTTGTATTTTCTACTCTCTAAGTCTTCTTCAAAAATACTACCTCCAAAACTACCTCCCACATTTTAGAAGAGATCCTTTCTATTTAAGTCGAGGGTCAACTGTTATTTTCCCCACATATCCCCATAAACTGTAATTAGCTACCTCGAGTGGCTTTTGAGCCTTGTACAGGGTAAATATCATTGTAAAAAAATCAACTATAGACATTAATATTGAAATAATTGCCAAATAATATAAAAGACTTAATAAAAATCTCCTCTACTCCTTCGATATCAATATATAACTTCTGTTAAGTTAACCGTTTAAATGTGTCAATGTCTTCTCTCTCCCCCGTCACTTCCTCACTTCGTTAATTTACATATGTTTAATACGGCCCGTCAAAAATGTGTAAATTTTCTTTTCATTTTTTGTTTCAACCTTTGGAAGTAAAGTCTGATGATCTGCAGTCCTTTAAAAGGGCTGTGGTGAAATAATTTATTACATGGAACCTTAAAGTGGTCTGTTTTTATTTAATATATATATATATATATATATATATATATATATATATATATATATATATATATATATATATATATATATATATAAAAGTGGCCGTTGAGGTCAACACCCAGTGGTGACAGTCTGCTTCATATTTGAACACAATAGTCAGGCCTGAATGTCTACTTTTATCTGGGAAGCATTTCAACAGAAAGTGCGAAATTGAGATCTGAGGGCACACTGGTATAGTGAAAGATGCTTTCCATAAGCTAAGCAAATTATTAAGAAGCAGTAAAATTTCATTAGAAACAAAGAAAAGAGTGCTGAAGTGTTATGTAAAATATCAGTCCTCCTATATGACAGTGAATACTAGACAATCTCCTTGCAGATGAAAAAGAGACTTGAAGCAACAGAAATGTGGTTCTACAGAAGGATGCTGAGAATACTATGAACTGAACATGTGAGCAATGATGAAGTTCTAAAGGTAATGGCAGCAAGAAGGACACTTATACTTAACATCAGGAAGATATAGTTGAAATTTATAGGGCACATAATGAGGAAAGAAGGCTTGGAATATTTGATAGTCACAGGAGAGACTAAGGAAAGCAAAGCAAGCTTCAGTGAATGGTTCACAGAGCAGCATTTATTAAGAGCTGCAAAATATAGGTAATTGTGGAGAGCCATGATAGTCTACTTCCTGAAGAGACATGGCACTGAGAAGAATATATATATATATATATATATATATATATATATATATATATATATATATATATAAATAAAAAAAAGAAAACAGTAAGATATAAAATCCAGTGTTCTTATAGATATTTTTATTTTTACAAAATAGTGCTCAATATTTTAAGCTTCTATTTTTGAAACATGGTTGGAACTGTGTAAAAAAAAAAAAACATATTTTAAATCAATTAATTTATAATATATATATATATATATATATATATATATATATATATAAATTTTTCCTTTCCCCAGTGTTTTAAAATAAAATAAACTGCCTGAATGCTAGTTTAGCTTTTCTTTGCTTTTTTTCATTTTGAGGTGACATTGCAACTTAAACTATGTTAGAATCTAAATATGTGGTTAAAAATCCTTAAGGAACAGAAGTTACCTAATTTACTATTCCTACCTGAATACATGCACTTGAATTGCAGGTGCTCTTAGTTTAAATCTAAACTTCTAACGTCTCTGCCTAAACTCCCAAATTTCATTTATTAATTTTTTTTAATTTAATTTAATCCCTTATTTGAGATAAAGAACAAATATGAAACATCAGAGACTGAGAAAAAAAAAATCAAACCACACAAAATTGAAAATATCAGAACTTCTGACATTTTGTCAGTTTTTCTCTCAATCTCTGACAAAGCTTTAACAAAAGTGAAACCTGTTAGATTGATAAACGTTTCCTATTTGTTCTTTATTATATCATCCTGTCAGATTCTGATCCATATTTGATCTACATTTGGTCTTTAACTCATATAAATATATATATATATGTATATATATATGAGATGAAATGGATTAAATCCAACAAATATTTTAATATATTATCTGTTTATACATTATTTTTAGGGATACAACTTATTTGAGTAAATGCACTGTTTTATTTAAACAGTATTAATTACATTTACTGGCCTGAATGTTTGAGAAATTTCATAGAAAATATGCATTCTCCGACAGGAACTGAACCCGTATCCCATATGGAAAATGTCATTTCGTCTGATGAGCTCTTAACCATTCAGCCACAGAGAACTTTCTGATTAGCAAAGTCTAAATTACTGCTTATAAACACACATCTTCAATGATCTTTCTTGATAATTCATTTCTGTTCTGAAATGTAACCTAACGTAAACAATGACAACATATTAGATAAAATGGATTACATCTGACAAATATTTTAATATATTTTCTGTTTATGCCCTACTCAGACTGGTAAATGTAATTAATACTGTTTAATTAAAACAGAGTATTTACTCAAATAAGTTGTATCCATAAAAATAATGTATAAACAAATAGTACCACATGGAGAGTACTTCAAGAACAGCTCCTGTGTCCATATCATTTGGAATGTTTGCAGAGTCTTCCACCATCTGATCATTCAACAGAACCTTTGCCTATGGTTTATTGCATAAACTGCTGATCCATTGTTTGTCTCTTCAGGTTTGTTTGTGGATGAGGCAACATTTGGAAAAGATGGAATAACAACCAACATTTGTGGGCAGGTTGGAATCCCCA